AAATGAGGGCAACAGGAACTTGGTCTTGCCTGTCCAAAGGAAACCAGCCATAAGAGCATGGTCCTTATATCCTTATATCCTCAAATTATAATAAACATCTTTACTTTCATTTCCCTCCTCAAATAAGCCTGTGACTAAAATTATCAGTACTCCTCAGCAGCTGCCTAGTTCACAAACAACTGTGCATACAGTATCCTACCTTTTTTCTTCCTATTCCCAAATATCAGTGGCAGAAGGGAAAAGGTAGTAGGGGAAGCATCCTGGCAGAGAAGCTAGGAGGATACTGTCAAATGTGCTCCTGCCAACCAAGAACTCATCTGGTATCTTTAACCAGGAAGTGTCAAAGGGTACCAAAACAGAGAGTTTAAAACTGAACTGGTAATTCAGATTACTAAAAATAACATCCCAAACTGTGGTTTAAGTTGCAAAGGGATCACCTCTATCCTATGATGAGAGTCATGAGACATTGTAACCTGTCACCTGAGTATTCCCCAATTACAGGCCCAAGATCTGTAAGCAATTTTTTTTATTTACATATGCTTTTGTTGTTTTTGCCCTTCATATAGCTCTTGGGTTTATTACTTCAATCAGACCTGTTCACTCATGTGTGCTGAGAATGCCTTAATGCTCTGTGAATCACAGATAACACAGAGCTTTACACCTTATTTGGTGTAAAAGAAGGGAAATGGATTCAGCAGAATGTAAAAAAAAAAAAAAAAAAGAGTTAGCAAGAACATGGCTTGTTGTAAAAGTACAGACATTTATCAGTTATTAGTCATTAGTCGAAACTGATAATGATGGGCAGTCAAGCATAGTGCTTCTCATCTTTGTTTTCAATGATAAGTGCTGCCTGCTGCCAAACAGTGCCTCAAAATGGAGAAAGGTACTTAAACTTGCTTCAGATGAGCAACTGGGTGCATGCCAATTTTTTACATGAACAGTCATAAGCATGTTCCTGCACAGCAGGATGTGATCAAACTATTCAAAGCTGTAAAACCAGGTTTGCTTGCCAGTTATGTTATTGCTTCAAGATCAGTGTATTACAGACGATACGTTGCCAGCCATGAAACCACTGTTTTTCCTTACAACAAATTCTACACCTTTAATATTTAAAACTCTGTATAGAACTGACTATTCCCAATTTAAAAAAACAATTTACAGAATTAAAGTTAGGACTGAAAACATATCAAGCACACAACCTCCTGAACTATAAGCCATCTCTTATTTTGCTTTAAAAAATCACTTCCTTCAAGCCGTACCAATTAAAAGGTCCCCTTTCTTCTCTAAACCAGAAGAAAAGTAATTGTAATGACTTACCCAAGTTCTCAGCTTCCGCTCCCAACCCTGTAATCATATTAACATTCCTGTCCATAAGGTGTGATGTGGTTAATAGGCGGTTGCTAGTTTGAGACATTGCACTGTATTGCCTCCTGCTGGAAACCACTTCTTTAAAGTATTTTATGAAGATCATGAAATGTGACTACGCCATATGTAATCTTTATTAAATGTCTGTCACTAATTGGATTACTCAAGCAAGAAAGATTTTTGAAGAAAGGCAGAACTGTAGTTCAACTGGAGAAATCAGTTTTTCCTTGACCAGTTTAAGACAAAACTGAACATTACAGAAAAGAAACTGATGTTTTACTTCTTATGACAGTCAGCATCTTTCTCCATTTTTCTTTCAGAGGATCAGTCATAAAACGACTCAAGCTCCCCAGTATAACACTATATCTGTTCGCTAACAAACATATCTTAGCAAATACAACCAAACAGTTGAGTTTGTTTTTTTAAGGGGGTTGGTACAGGAGAAGATGGATGTCAATGTTTAGCCACGCTTTAGTTGTTTGTTTTTTATTCACTTGAAAATACATACTAAAAGTAGTATCAAATATTTGAGTTTATACCATTTTATTTGTTTTCACACATACAAAAAGTAGTTTGCATATTTGCTCAGCAATCTAGTGAATGATCTAAGATTATATACACATGCAGAGCTCAATACAGTGACAGAAGCCTCTATCTGCTTCCTAGTAAGAAGTAATATTCAGGTTTGAAATCTCAAAAAAATAGGCAGAGGTTCTTGGGTGGTATGACTGAAAAATACATGTTCATGGCCCTTCCAAGACATGGACAGCACTCTTCATTTTTTGATTCAAAAATTATTAAAGTAAAATTCAAATAGAAGAATCACAACTAGCTAATCATTGTCACGTGTGCTGCAATAGCAGTCCAGTTAAATGCAACTTAACAGCATAACTACCAGAAAAACTATTGCAAAACTGCATTTCAAAGACTAGTTGAAAGTAATCTGTATTTACTAGGAAACACACAGTTTATAGAATATCCATTTCTAAGAATGTAACCTATTCCTTACTTGAAATCAAAGCAATGTGTTCAAGCTGTGAAGGCTTTTGTGTTATTGTTTCTTACTGAGCAAAATCAGAAATCCCCAAAAACCTATGTACTACTTATATTCAGTGTGCTCAATCATCAAATGCCAGGCTGTTGTGAAGAAAACCATAAAGAAGGATAGCAGATGCAGCTTCATTAAACACAGTCAGTCCAAACCCTTTTTATCATATAGGCAGTTTTCTGTCATATGGAACCAGTTATGACGGTCCCTCAAATGACACTGCTGTCTCCAGCACTGCACACAGCAAGCAGGAACAGAGAGCAACATGGTGTTCACACAATGCATCATGAAGCATTTAGCTTCCATTGCCCAGTGACCTCTGAACTTCAAAAATGTTTCTTCCAGAGGATAGACACAGCATGCTAATGGTTTACTCTATTTCTGCTTTGTCTCAGCCTGTTTTTATCAATCCCCCCTCATACTTGATGTCACCTCCACCAAAAAGATTTTAACTTGAGATGTTCTGAATGCCTGAGGCGACCTCAGATCTAACTTCCAATAATTTGTATTTGTTATGCTAAGCATATACATCCCCTGAATTATATCTAGTCCCTTTGTGGTCTAATGTAGGAATCCCTCTTCTATTGTTCTTGCTGTTAGCACTGTAATAACTACCGCTATTGCAATGTTAACAAAAGACTACTAATAATTCAAGTACAGTATGAATTCCCAAGGAATCATCAAGTGAGAAATGCAGGTTGAAATGGTAGCTTCAGTTCCAAGGACCTATTTACTAGATTCAAGAGTTACAGCCATAAAAGCATCACATATGTGAAAACACAACACATGATCAATAGTGTTCTATTAATAATAATTAATTTAAAACAATGGTATTATAAATTGCAAAGTTATTACAGTAGTACAGCTTAATACCAAATATTAACATTTTCATTTAGTGGGTATTTATTATTCTATTAGTTTATTTTTTCAGCTGCACTATCTACTTAACATTATCTGTGCTTTTTGCTCACAGGCCTAAAGATGGTTTTGCAAGTTGTGGCACTTGAGCCATTACTATGTAAAATACTTATCTTTATTAATTTCCAAACTTATTACTTGGAAAAGATTACTCCTTAAACAGGCAGCTTGAAAATCAATTTAATTAAAACGTATATAAAAATGCTTACAATGACATTCTTTTGACATGTGCAAAAGTTTTATGGTCCAAGTACGCCTGAAAGTCCACTTCTACAAAGAAGCCAAAACTGACAAAACAAAAACAAAAAAAATCAAAAGATCTTTCTCTATTGGTGAAAGATTTTCTCTTATAAGCTGATCACTTTTTAAATGCCCTGTACAAAGAAGAAAGAACATAAACTTTTGGCAGGACTGTTGGATGTTTCCTATTAGCTATGCTGCTCATCATTATTGTAAAAACAAAAGAACGTAGACTGAAAAGGTAAAGTTCCACCATTAACATCTTCCAATATTAACAACCTATGCAGGGCATACTGAATAGACACACAAAATATTTAAGGACCAGGCAGGTGGGGCTTTCAAGGTTAAAGTAGGAGAGAATGCAAAACCAATGACTGTAGAAAAATGAAAATTACAGGGTGTGTAGAAAGGTCTCTCTTACCAAGAGACTTCTCAATACAACATAAATTCAATCAAGATTATTAATACCACTCAAGATCACAAACCTAACTTTAAACCTAATAGAATTAGTTAGATGTGGGCTAATTTTGGTAACTCGTATTAAAAATCTTAACTTTCGATATTGGAAGAGTCAGATGAAATTTCTTGCCTGGGATAAATACATAAGGAGTTTCATCCAGTCTAAAATCTTGTCTTTTTCTAGGAGATATATCCCCTCCTTGGACTGCTTCTCCCTACAGCTTGTTGTTATTGAGATAAATCTAGGTTAAATCCAGGAAAGGAAACTGTGGGGAAAAAACCCCCAACAAACCAAAACAAAACAGGAAAACTCTTCCATGAGATAGGAAAAGCAAGGAGACTGTCTTCATGGTGAAGAAAATTAAGACAATACTCTTCTGTGAAAATAGGACATTGCAGGGAATGAGTGATTTGAGCAGAAAAAGGATCTCAGGTTCTTTCAAGTCATGCAGCAGAAGTGTAAGACTGAGAGTCAAGGACCACATGCTTATTTTTTATCTCCTGAATGTAAAGCAACAAAGGGAGGAATTGCTTGCATTCTTGTATGAGGTACATTATCTTCCTTTAATGTATATTTCTGCCACTTATAACCCTTTACAAATCCTTGAGTCCCAGTTAACTGTCATCCAATTCACTATACCAATACAGCATACTGCAAAATTAAACCCTTAATAGCTTTTTAGATTGGTCAATACACTGAAAACCATGCCGTTTTAAAAAAAAGGAGACTGTTATTGATCAGATACAAAAAATACAAAAATAACTTTTCTCGTGAAACACACTGATGCCATTTCAATGGCCACTACTACCATGAAGAAACAGCTGATCAGCCATTTACTACAAAGACTCTCTGTAAGATTTTCAACAGAGAAAAGTAAATGAAATAATTTTCTTCCCCAAAAGTAAAGCAAAAAAAAAAAAAAAAAAATTAAAAATTTGGTATTGTGATGATATACTTGTAGAGACTTACTTGAGACAAAGCAGCATCCCGTTGTTCTATTACCGCATTCATTTCCTCAGCTATTATTTTCTTTTTACGTTCTTTGGTCCTGTGTATTCGATTCAGAATTATAGCTCCATTCTTCAGTATATCAATCCCTGTGTCTGCATTGTTTATTCTGTTCAGTAATTCCTGTAATGTCTACCAACAGCATTATATGTTAGTCAGACATGAAGTTTTAATATATTTTATTTAATATAGGGTTTTAATTAATAGGCACATGTGAATTGTAAATTGACTGAGTGAAGTTATTGAATTTTCATATTGCAGCAAAGATGTACATTATTAGTGTGTCAATTCTTCTTTTTCCCACATCTTAGTTCTTGAAACCCACTCAATTGAACTTAAGCCTCTAAGATATAAGACTGACATCAAGAAATCTCCTCAGAGAATGGCTTACCATGTCATTTTCTTCAGGGTTAATATTTTCTAGCCTAGAAAAAAGGGACACAGAAAGCCTGATCAGTAGCATTTCCTTAGTGCAGCAAAATGAGTTCGCTTTTTAAATCTTTAGAACCTCAAGTAATTTCATTCTACTAGTCTTTAGAGTCAACCATGACACTGAACATATTAAAGTGCCACCTGCTCGACTCCATCTTTCAATAATGCTCCATATCTTCAGCACTGACTTCAGACTGTTAAGTTATTAATGTTTACTGCTATATATGACTACAAGGATCAATTGTTCATATGTGCTTAGATGAAGAAAGTTCCCCAGCGATAGAAATGACTGATGCTCTTATTTTATTTATTTCTGGGCTTACAACTTTTACCTGACGTTGTATTTTTGTTGTTTTTACTGCACCGCAAATGAAACAAGACAGGACTTCTGTGGAGAATTTTAGTTTTTTCCATTTTCAGGTAATTCTTTTTTCATGTCTCTCTTCCAAAGTGAGGAGAAAAACCTAGCTGAAGTTTCCTTAAAAGTATATGGATTTTATATCTTGCATAAAATAGCAAGCTAGGCCAATTCTCTGCAAGACCCTTATTTAATTCTGGAACATCCGCCCTGCACTTTCCTCCCTTTCTGTTTCAACAGAACATATATTGACCTGTCAAATACAGCGATAATACAAGGAATTTAGTCACACAGCATTGAACACTGGCTGTGCAAAAGCACTGAGTGATAGCACAAAAATCTGATAAATGGGATAGTATGCATTTTATTTTACCTAAGGTTAGTTATGTGGACAGCATATTATTTAGAACACTTATGTGTATTTTTAAGAGAGACCTCTTTTCTGCAAAAATGACTGTACTAAAGTTACCTTACCTCACCATTGCTTTTTACTTAATGGTGACCTCTACTAAAAGTAGGTCTGTCACTACCATATGATATTTTAAAAGACAGACGTAGTACCATTAAACATCTACTAAACAGCAACATGCACTTTTTCAACAGTGCTGTGACAAGTGCTGCTCTGAAGCCAAGATTTTTGCTAGCAAACATCATAGAGCACTTGACAGCACACTAGCACCTTTTACATTAAAGCATTAGTTTTACCGGATAACAGTACATAAGGCATAGTAAATCCACCAGTACAGAAAACAGTACAGAAGATAATACAGAAAACAGTACAGAAAACAAAACACAAACAAAAAAGCCATAATGGACTACCAGTGTACAATAGCTATTATATTTATATGGAATTCACAAGTAATAACTACTCCAACATATACACTCAGCACCAGAACTAAACAAAACAAAGTAAAAGTTAACCTTTGCTGGGTTTCACTTGTATTCATAAAGTAACACAAATCATAAATTAACAAACATAAATCCAAATTCTCAGAACTGGCTCCTTGACTTGGATCCTTGTAGAGTTCCTGCTTTAGGTTTTTACATTACTCTAAGTGCCACTTCATGTGGGACTTAAAAATGGATCTCCAGCTAGTTTGTATTCACAATGAAAGGAACGGTATTTGTCAAAGTAAATTGGCAGGACTGACCCAGCTTCTCCAGAGGACTTCTACCCTGCTAAAAGTGTGGGTCAACAAAATCACCCAGCCGACCAACAGGCTGGGTAAGCAAGACACCTTAGGGGAGAATTTGGGGTGGGAAAAAGAACAGGAACTGCTACTGTAAGTGTATCCCTTCAGCATACTACTGCCACAAGGGATCTGTCTGTAGGTGTACATACACCTCCTTAGGTGACAGTACTTTTTAAAAAGCAGGATCTGGAGCTGTGTATTTGCTCTGCTGCCTCTCCCTGTGCTGTGCACAGACAATAAATGACCCTTGGGTCTCTTGTGATTTCAAACAGCAGTATCCAAGAATTCCTCTTTCCCCCCCTTCTACACACATTCTGCTAACGTAACCCCTAGGGCCAACAGGACTGAAAGAATTTTGGTTGTTACAGTTAAATAATGACAACAGAATTGCTCCAGCTGCTAATTTAAAGAAAGCATTAAAGTGTTTGATAATGGTTGGCAGGCTGTTCAATATTGCCCTCTTGTAAAGATCTCTGATTGGAGTAAATCCAAAGCAGATGGAAGAAGTGACCTATGCTCTAAAACTTGACGAGTGTGGCACAAGTAGCCCATGTTTTTTAAAAAAACCCAAACCTCTATGTGTACCATCTCTGAGACAGAGAGCTTGACCTTTTGAACCACCAGCATCAGAAAGAAAATATTAAGGGTGGTAGTTGGAAAATTTCCAAGATTCCAGAAGAAACTCCAAAATGAAATATAATAAAACAAATCCCTCATGGCTCATCCCACCATCTCTGCTCCTCCCAAAGGATGAGGTGAACTCAAAAAAAAAAAAAAAATTCCATTCAGCCACAGTAATAAACTACTTAGAATAAAGAGGCTGAGAAAAGTAACTTCCTCATGAGGTTGACTGCATCTGAGAATGCAGCATCTCAGTATGACTCTTCTCACTCACAATCCTGGCTTGCTCCTCTCATTGCAAAATGCAGGCAGATATAAAAATATGTTTCTTGTCAGCTCAGCTGAGATGTTACCACAGTTAGTAAAGATGCCCAATGTTCTGAAAAGCCTGAGTGCTGGAGCCAGGCTGGTGTTCCAGCAGAAATCTTGGCTCCACTCAACCATTCCTTGTTTGCAAGGTGTATGGCTGCTTGAATAAGCATCCTGTAAACTTAGAATAAGTGGACCAGAGAAAAGCAGCTGAGCCTGTTTGAGGCAATCCTGCCTTCTTGGTTCTGTAATGCCCAAAGACTTCAAAAACAGCGAAGAAATTTCTTTAAAAAAAAAAAACAAACCCACAAAACCCCACAAACCAATAATCACAACAAGAAATGTTTCCCTGTAGTATACCATTGCTTTTTTTTTTTTTTTTTTTAAATATCACATTATCTAGAAGGTGCTGTCACATAGAGAAGTGATATGGGTCAGAGATGAGCTGTGGTCAGCTTGACCTTGGTCAGGTTCACAAATGGATACAGTCACTGTGGGCTGAGCTAGTGCTGAATAGAAAGTGATGGAACAGAGCAAGACATCTTTGAAGTTTCTTACATTTTCTGATATAGCTTAAGGTATTCCTATCAAACTTGCACTTTGGCTGTATGGGTAGCAAGGTAAGGAAAGAGGCAGATATTAAGACATCGGATGCAGTGATCATGATGATTACTTGAAGATAAAGAATGAGTTTTTCTTCCCTGCAGGGGATTGCATATGGCAATTAATGGCCAGTAATCCATTACCATTAAGTACTTGCTGCATGGATGATTAACGAACTTTAACAAACTTTATAGTGGGAAGAAATGAAGCTTTTGGGCTCTCTACCATTGTGGCTTTTGTCAATTGGGATTTTTCCTTTACTGCTCTGATGATTCACTCTACAACTGTCAATGAAAATAAAAGCACGTAACATTTTTCAGAACCCGTCAGAAACATCTTTGTGCCCTGTGGGAGGCACAAGCCAGCTTGCAATCTGCCTGAGGATTTTGTTCATAGAATCATAGAATAGTGTGGTTTGGAAAGGACCTTAAAGATCATAGTAGTTCCAAAGATCTTGAGTTTATGCTAACAACTTATACACAGTTTCTTTGATGTTTGGGGCCATATAAAACTCTCTTGCTTTCTTTACTCTTGGAACATACAAAATTAGACAGGAGAAACTGGCAAAACTGGAGTAAGGCTCACAGTTATGATGCTTCTTATGGGAATTTAAAGCACACTTGTAATTTTCTCAGAGACTGCAGCTCAAAGCAAGATTTCAGATGCATGGCCTCTGTAGAGACATTTACTCTAATTGTGCACTAATTCCTGTGGGAGTGGAACCTCCTAATACTGCTGTTGAGTCATACTTACAGGCTGTGACAAACTCTAGAAACTTGTAAATTCCACAGAGTAATGGTGCACAAACTATGTGCAGATTACTGAAATTTATTTAGATAACATTCTCTGGCCTTACCTACAAAAATATCCAAAAGAAAATGACTGGTTCTCTGTTATAAAGAGGAAAGTCTGTTCTTAGTAGAATCAATTATTTAAAACATATTTTCCTGCCATTCAATTAACTAACAACTCCACCTATTCAGTCACCTACCATGCAAAACTTCTCTGTTTGCTTTGTATTTCTCTTTGCAGAAAAGAAAAATAGGAGAAATTTATCAGCCACTCTAGACTTTGAGGGACTACCCTTTATGGAACTACTGCAGATGCCCACAGCTTGGATGGAGGATTACATGGAGAGGCAAATTGTAGCTTCAAAGCTGCCTATGAACTATTCTTGATCTTCCTCTCCTGACTTAACATTTCTGTTTAACTTGAGATTGCCTATTTCTATTGTGTTAACGTGACATACATAAAACTTTATGAAGTATTAATTATACCCTTATTGCCTTACAAACTGTTCCTACACTAAAGATAAGTAAAAATACATGGGTTTTTTTTCTCTGTCACCCACATCATTAGTAGAAATTTTGCTGCATGAAATGTCTAGTGGGCTTAAAGGCTTGATTGATTTCCTATACATTGCAACTTCTGACCGACATTCTGGTACTGTGTCAAAAGATCCCTATAACACATTTGTCTTATTTATCCCTGAATAAATCAATAACAATGCTTCTGACTATATTTTTAATTTTTGTGATCAAAATTATTCATCTTGCTCTCAGTGTCCAGAGAAAAATACAGTCTTATAGGATGGCTAACATAACCAATAGGACAGTAAGACTAGCACTAGCCTGGTATTTTGTCATAGAGAAGTTTGTGCTAACTTTATTCCTATCTAACCACCGTTGAGCAGTTTATGAAAGTGACTGACACAACAACCGTTTTTGCATAGGGCAGGAAATGTATACTTACTCTTTGAGAGACGCCTCTAAATGCTGGATACGTAGAAATGCTTCATCTCTCTCTTCATTGGCTAACCTAAGCCTTGCCATGACAGCCTCATCACGTTCCCGTTGAGCAGAATAAACTTCTTCCACCAGAACTGCAAAAGTAACCAGTGTGTTTAACAAAGTTTGACAGGGAAAGATACTACTAGATGCACTTACCAGCATCTCCTAAAATCAACATTTCTTCACTGACCTCAGATTACTCTGGATAAGGTTGTATTACTCTTCAGATGCAACATTAAATTGCTGTTGATTGCTAAAATGAATACTTTAAGGAATGCAATAAAGCTATGTGTTTTCAAATTCACCCCTGTATAATCAGACAGGGAAAGGAAGTGATTTGCTTTGCATTCTGAATACTTGCGTAATGGAAAAGTAATTCTTAAAGCTCAGGATCATACAAGAGACTAATAGGTTTCTTCTAGGACACAGAGTTAAAAGTAATGATCCATTAAAACTACTTCTACCGTCACACTGTTTCCTATCAGAGTGGCACACTGATATTAGATATTAAAAATTCTAATATTTTCATAGTCTGTCTCTGGTATCACAAGAGTGGTACAGCTGGCATCTATCTCTCCTTCTCTGCCAAGCCTTTACTTTATTGTGTAATATACTGTTATATTATCTGTTACGGCATACATGGACCTTGGAGCATTAGGTGCCAATAAACTAAGATTTACTGTCTATCCTTGGGAGCAAACTAACACCTTCAAGTCATTCCTCATCCTGAGCTTACATTTTCTCCCTGCCTCTCCCCGTCAATATGCCTAACACCAGCTCTGGCATACTGCCAGAATCCTTACCTCGACCCTGTCTCCACTAAAATCTTTATTCATACTTTCATCATTTCCCTCTTCAATACTGCAAATCTCTCCTCACAGTTATCCTAAAACCCTGCAGTCAAAATGTCTAGGGACTTTCAGGATGCTATAGTAAGACCGTTATCACTGCAAGATGGAGGATCGTATCCTCTCCAGTTGTCACAGGCACCTCCAAAAAACTCAGCAGAGATCTGTAGGTTCCAGAATTCTCCATGCTCCCCTTCCAGTCTGCCAAGCTGGTGTTAAGCCACAGTCTCCTAACACCATATTACAGTCTCTTTCAAATTCTGGCACTTCTCAGGAACCTTCTGTATTAAGCCATTGCTGCTGGGCTTCCTTAGCCCCTTCAGAACTCTCTGCTCCTCTCCAAACCACTGCTTAAGTCATTAAGATCTCAAAGAAACATTTCCTCCCTCTACACTTTAGACTAGAGCTTTTATTCTTCCATTCTTACCTCAACTGACATCACTTTTGTTGCCTTTATATTTCAGTTTACTCTTACTTCACCCTTGTACATTATTGTACAAAAACTTCACAGTGTGATCTAACATAAAACAGTTTATGGTTCTTCACAGAATGGAACAATAGCAACACAGTAGTACATTTTGGTAGCAGCTATATTGCTGGCACAAAATATGTTTTATCAGTACCAAAAAAAGCCCCCAAACTCTCCAACCAACTGAAATACAAAAAGCAGTAAGTTTCCATACAATTCACAAGCAGCTCAGATCACCAGGGATGGAAGATGAGCGAAAGAATGAAAAGAAAAAGATGTTCAAGGTAGGAAAGCAAACCTCTTGTTCTCAAGCTGGGGAGAAGAGTGCTACTGAGGAGTAAGGAAGCATTTTTTGCAGGTTGAACAATAAGAGCAGACTGGATGAAAGAAGACAGGGAAAGAGTAAATGTTACTTCTAGAAGTGCAGTCCCTTCTCTCACATAAATGTGCAAGGGAACTGCAAGACTAGTCATCAGGTCAGAGCTGTAACAAGTTGTGTCCCAGCAAAAAAAAAAGATAAAATCAGGATCAGAAGCACAAATCTTGAAATGTACTCAAAATCTAAGAAACACTGATTTCATTCTCTTCTATTTGAGTATTTACTTGTTCCATAAGAATAGTGTCTTTTTTCTTGAAGATTTATTTCTCCTGTTTGTAACAAGAAAGCTTTTCCGGATGTGGAATGTAAAAACTAAAGTATGAGTAAAGCAGCTGTAAAACTGCATGTGCACAGATAAGTAGTCAGAAATAAATAGCAGCACTTGCACAGAATAAATCCAGTCTCCTCAAAGGTAGGTGGCTCAGCAACAAGAACAAATTTTATGAGGTGGGCTGTGCGTTTCAGCTCACCAGACTTCCACTTAGGTTGCTGAGACCTGTGATGGCAGGGAAACTAGTGCCTCAGCATTGACGGCATGGGTAAACTACATTGCAACTGCTATGTCCCAGTTGGATCTGGAAAACACGAGTAGTTTAATTCGGTGTGACAAATTATTACCTATCTGTATTTTAATATATTTGTAATTTACTGGAAAAACTATAGTAAACATCAGTTTATCTAGCATCATGCCGGACGCACTGCACAGAGAAGCCATTCCATACAGTTGCAAGTGGAAACATTATGTAATTTTCATAATGAAAACAATTGCTGGAATGAATAGAAAGCTGTCTAAAATAACTGAAAAACTGGTATTTATTACTGTTCTGGGGTTAATTATTTTCCAGATTAGTTAACTTTTTTCTGGTCTCTGGCTGCATCCCTTCTTGTCAGACCTTATGATATACCCACATCAGCATGAAAACCCACAATTTTCTATTGCTACAATAGATTTTGAGCATAAAATTACACTTAGAGACTCTGTGTTTTGGCATATATAATTCCCTATCTGCGTAATTATAACCAGTGGTAATAATGAGTATACAGGCTTTTTAAAACCAGATTGCTGCTTATTTGTTCTTAAAGCAAAGTAATGTGTATATATAAAGGTATGAAAACATTCAGAAAAAGATATTTTAAAAAGTTACTTAAAAATCCTGATTATCTCAAATCTTATCATTCATGATAGCAGCAGCCTAGAGGCTAATTGAACACTGAACCCTTCCCCCACCCAAAGGTCCGTTACAAAATACTGTTTTTTAACGATTGGCTATGGCAAAGTAACTTAAATTGAGCAACTCTTTCTTGTTATTTTCTTATCCTTTCACTAAATTAAAGCATTGGAGTAAATATCCCAATGACTAGATCCACCAACTACATTAAAAAAAATATACATAGTAGTTCCATATCAATTACAAGCATTTTTGCTTCTATTTCTTAAAAGCAATATAGCAAGTTAATTTTTTCATATTAAAACAGATTAGGGAGAGTGTAGAAAACAATGTAAAATGCCTGCATGGTAATCTAAGTTTAAAAAAAGATACTTAGCTACATGGCATTTTAATACCATGTAGCAATACTGACACTGACCACAAGAAATTACAAGTTTAAAAAATACCCGAAGACCTTATCTAACTCATTTTAATGGTCTACAGAAGGCTAGCTCACCTGCTTCCTTCACCAGTCAAAGCTTCTCCTCAGTTTATGTCAGACATTTCTGTTATCCAATGCCTATACATTTCTGACTTTAATATTTTACAAATTTATTTTTTTAATATTATATGGAATATTACAACAGTTATACAATTGCAGGTAGTCTGAAGTATGATGTTAACATTAAGGTTCACCATTAAGATGGATGAGTCACAAGTTTAGGACCATAAAGATCACAGGATTCTTCAAATAAATCACTGAAATACATACATCTTTGGGCTGTACAGCAGCAGCAAAACAAAATATTTTGTGTCATATTTAGGAAAGTATGCAAAGTATAAGGTGTCCAATGAAAAATCTGTGAGAATGTGTGACATAAAAATCCTCCATATTAAAAGAGTAAAGAATATCCAGATTATCATCCCTATGCTTCTTAAAAATACCAGGCAAAGATTAATTGAGAGTAACAAGCCAGGCTCCTAAATCCCATTCAAGATATGGCATATCCAGCAAAATACTAGCCCCACACTGGCACGCTGACTTAATTCCTGATCCAATAAAAAAAATGATCCAGCTACTTAGTCACTAACTGCTCTGGTTGACACCATGAGGTTTTTCTTGGAGACCTTCCAATGGTGCACCAACCAACCCTATCCTGTTTATCTTGAGGCCTGACCAACAAGAAACAGAAATTCTTATAGAACTCATGTTTCAAGCAAGAAAATGACACACAAAAATGAATAGTCAAGTTTTAAGCAAAAATGAATTGTGTAATTTACTAATTCATATACATATAATGACATTCAAGAGTTAAAATATTTAAATCCCGTACTGCTAAATTAAATAAAAAGGATTATTTTCCAATGCTTGCAACCATATTACAAATATGACATTACTATTTAGTTGCATACACTTTATTTGCTTTGGAATAATTTAATAACATCTTTCTCCTTGTAACTAAAACCCCTTCATACTCTAAAAGAGCTCTTTATTTTAAAAGAATCATTATGCTAAACTCATCAATTCTAAAACATTTTTAGTTTTTAGTAAAGAAAACAATTGTAAACAGAGAGCTTTTGTAAGGTAGATAGCTATTACAAAGTTCACTTAGAAAATCAATATAGCATTTTAGCTGGAATTTGCTCATTAAACACCCACAGCTCTAATGCAAATTATGATGGAATGAATAAAGCAAATACATATGCTTCTTTCTTTTTATTAAATGTAAAATCTACTGTTAATTGCATCTGGTATGTCATATAAACTTTTCTCCTTAACTATTAAATGGAAGCTTTTACAAAAGTCATTAGAGATTCTCTTTCTTTGACTTGTATAAATTTCAATATTTGTTCAGTAAAGGTTCACAGCAGTTAAATTACATTAACAAATATTATTAGCTACTATGTAAGCCAACTAAGTAAAATACTTATATTGCAGGTAAAACAAATCAATGGGTGTTTACAATAATATTTGGATATGTCCATTTTTAAACAAGCTTATCAAATATCATGTAATTCTTAGTCAAATGAGAGAGACTCAAAGTAGATTTTTTCTTCCCAAATACTCAAATTTGTTTAGTAAGCTAATTGTTTTCTAATATGGGCAAAAGTAAATATGAAGAAGATGAACCATACCGAGTATGAGTTTACTGAGTCAAAGCAGTGTACATATTTTCTTAGTTGAACCTGATTCTTTCGGCAAACCTATCTTCTACACTTTTTAAACTACCTTTAAAATACAGCAGTA